AGCGACGGCGGCGGACATGTTCGCCAACTCTTCAGAGTCACTAGTCGTCATTCCGCTATCGAATTTAAGCACGTTTATATTTCAGCTTGCTCAGAAATATGTTAGCAAGGTTGCAAAATTATTACGTGTTCAATTCACGGGTCACCAATCTTGTTATGGACCCGGTAGGGTGCAGTGCTGATTATACTGAGTGGCCTTGTGCCAGACACCACACTAAACTACTGAGTCTACAAGCAAAGTAAAAAAAAAAAAAATATGCGTGAATGAACAGTGAGAGGAAAGGGGTCAATCAACAAGTGCATAAAATAAAATATATTATGATAGCCGAATAAAAATGCCAAAGACATCTGTTTATAAAAACATGAGTAAACTTTAATCAAACAGTAACACGTAACTCATCCCAAGGTCGGGATCAATGAAAATGTTTCAAGCCAAAATAGAAATACAAGATGGCCAAAGGCGGAAAAAGAAAGTTTTATACAGTTCGAAAAGAATGTCGCACAGATAGAAAGGAGTACTCACTGTGGATATTTTAAGTTGTAAGTGATTATGCATATTTTTAATGTACAGGTTCAAAGTTATAAAGAATGTTCGGTAAATATTGAATTGACCGCTGGTAAATGTTCTGGACTGCTGTGGGCATCTAGCCGAGGGAGAGACGAAGCATGGTCTTGTAGAATGGTTTACGGCGAGCCCAAAGAGAAAGACGAAAATGTTTTCGCTCAAAGGGTAATATTATCCCTGCCTGTATTATTTGGTTCGGGCCAGGGGTAAGTTTAAGTCACCTGTTGAACACGGTTTCTGCCGACGACAGTGTCGCTACAGTCTCTAAAAAACGTCTTCTGGTAGAAAACGGAGAAAAGGTCCTGACCTGTGATTAGCAATTTGTTCGTTCAGTAGGATATCCCTGCCTATACTTATTAGGCCCCTGACGAGGGATAAAAAATACGCCATTAGTTGCATAATGAACTTTTGCTCGCGACAGTGTCGCATATCTCTAAAACATCTTCCAGTAGAAAACGGAGAAAAGGTCCGACCTGTTGGCAGCTTCAAAAGGAGAAAAAAGTCTTGGTAGAGGGTAGTCGACATTGTTGAAAAAAAATAAGATATTCCGCCCGCCGCGATGGGTTAAGTGCACGGAATAAATGAGTTGCCCATCCAGTCCGGGTCGAAAAGCTAAGAGGCAAACTAGCTTGCAAACGCTGGTGTTTTAGACGCCGCTGTGACGCTGGGAAAAAATTCAAAATCTATCATGAGTTCATCAGCAGGAGCCAATGAGTTTACTGCTACATTTAGCTGTGAGTGAAAGGTAGGGGTGAAAAAATTATAAATGGAATTAATGTTAATTCCATATAGCCTTCCCCCGGATTAAATGTCGGGAGACATTTAACAAATAATAACATAAAAGTCTCGGAGAACTCTCCGGTTTCAGACGTCATGCTGGCTATCATAATTATGCACGTTTAGGTTTTAAAAAAAAAAATTGACCCGACAGAAAATGACCTGTCTTTCATCCACAACACAAGTTCCTCAAAAATCAAATTGGTATGTTACCAATCTTATTGATCAGAAGAATGTCAGCAAGTTCGCCAATCTTGCTGCATGTTCATCACGTCGGGTCACCAATCTTGTTATGGACCGTAGGGTGCAGTGCTGGATTATACTGAGTGGCCTTGTGCCAGACACCACACTAAACTACCGAGCCTACAAGCAAAGTAAAAATGCGTGAATGAACAACGAAGAAATGTGAAAAAAATCCACACGTGCATAAATAAAATATATTAACAAGATAGCCTCCTCGAATGACTGAAAAAGACTGGATTTCAACAAGAGTAATCTTTATTTAATACAGGAAAAACAAGTAATTTGTCCCGTGGTAGAGACCAATGAAAAGTTCCGCGCCAAAATGGAAAAGCAAGATGGCTAAAGGCGGAAAAGGTTCTTGAAGAAAAAGGTTCCAGTAAGTCAATGTACATGGTAATATTCATACAAGGAAAAAAACTACTCACTGCGAGTTTAGGTAATGTGAGGAATGTTATGTACGATTTTTTTTTTCTTTCTTTTTTTTTTTGTACTGGTTCAAAACAGATTTCTGACGAGACTCAAAGTGGACGACGGATTGTTTTGTATGTTCTGCATCGTCTCGGAGGAGGGCTTTGAATGACGAGCCAAAAAGGACGAAAAATTAATTATTTGGTATTTGCATCGTCTCGGAAAAATGATTATGAATGACGAGCCAAAAGGACGAAAAATTAATTATTTGGTATTGCATCGTCTCAGAAAAGGATTCTTGAATGACCAGCAGAAGGGACGAGGAATTAATTATTTGTGGTCGCATAGTAAGATATCCTTCGTCAGTCAAACTGAAATATTGACGGGATAAAATGAGTCTGCCCAGGTCAGAGCCTGGAACACCAACTGACTTTTTTTTGAAACAACAGTTTGTCGTTGACGCCACAAATTTTTCGCGGCAAGATTTCAAAAATCTAATTTGCATAAACAGTAGTAGCAAGTCGCTTGGTTGGTGACCAAAGCAGTTACTACTGTATTAGACCGAACGAGGGAGAAAGGGGGGTGTCAAAACGCGCGCGCGCACACACACGAGTGTCGGAGAAAGGGAGGCAACTCGTGCGCGCGTAAAATGTCGTAGATGGAATAATACATTATTCCACAGGTCCCATCCATGAAACTCAAGTCGAGATGCTGAAGGTAACATCAATCAGCTAAGCAACAAACTTATATATATATATATATATATATATATATATTGGTTACTGTTTAGGTAGGATTCTGTCTTTTGTTCTTTTTTTTCTTAGTTTGTTTATTTTCCTGTTTTTTGTTAGTAATTTTTCTTTGAGTTTTTTTTTTGGTCACCTGGCATGCTGTTAGTTGTACCAACACTTTGGAATTTTGTGGCATACAGTATTATATATATATATATATATATATAAAAATGAAGTGATGAATACATAGAAAACACAATATTTAAACAAGTCACTAAACCCAAAATATATCTGCTATGTAGACAATATTTAAAAAAAATTCTTAGACCTTCTCACATAATACAGTAATAACACATTCACCACTTCATTATATAAAAAACACCATCAGCAGAAATTTGTGCCATATTATATGGAAAAAAAAAAAAAAAAAGAGAGTCACTCACACACACAAACTGAACTTTCATTTGGTCGTAATCACTATATAACAGATATTGATATATATATATATATATATATATATATGGAAAAAAAAAAAAAAAAAAAAAAAAAAAAAATCAATGACAAAGTGGAAAATCGTTTTTGTATGATGTGTTTCATCAAATTCTTGATTAGGTTTTACGTTGATCTGACTACACATGAAGGAGAGGGAACACTGAAATCTTAATGTTTTAAATTTTTTTTATTTTAAATATATGTTTAGCCAATTCCATTAAGCCTTTTTGTTTTTTATCACTTTTGTTATTAAATATCCAACATTGTGATAATAGATCTGCTAAGAAAAGTGAGACATTGTCCTGATATATAACACACACACACATACATACATATAAGAATACCTGAACATTATTAAATGTTAAGAAAACAAACAACTTATATATTATCTTTGTTGTTGAGGGATGTGTCTTGAAATGGAACAGTGGTTAGCAAGTTTTTCTCTCGAGATTGACCACAGGATGCCATATACATTCAAGTTTTATGGCATATCAAGAAAAACCAATTCAAGAATACTTATGTGCTCACTTTAGCACAATGGTCAGCTAGATTTATTTGCAAACCATTTTGCTAGTATTTAATCATCATAAGGTTTCCCGTCTTTCAAGTGGCCTTGTGGCAGACTAAATGAAACTGAATAAATATCCCTTTGTTATGGGCTAGACTCATAGATCATTACAACAGTAGAAAATTTAATTCTCACTTTAGACAAGTGTCTTACATACTATGACAACTGTAGGAGTTGAAGCCTCACTGAGTGCCCCATACATATGATCTTATAGCAGATAAATTTAAGCTCAGTAAATAACTACATTAACTCTGCTGTCCGATATTATAAATGCTAAAACATAATTGTATTTTTTCTCCTTCCTTGAAGGCATTGATTATTAACCCCCCCACCCTCAATCTGAACACCTGTCTTGTTCAATATTTATACAAATATGTACCATAAGGTCATAAAATATCATGAAAAGAGAACAAACAAAAGCATTTACATTTCTTTGAGTGTTAAAAAGAAAAGTATTGATTAAATCTGCCTTTTTTAAAGTAACTTCCAAATCAATATGCTGACATCATAAAAGTATCAAGATCATGATATAATAATTCAACATAACCAAACAAAGCCACAAAATAATATTTATGAGATGTGTATTAGGTCAAGTCATAAATTTCTATTTTTGTTTATAAACTTGATTCTTCAAAAGATAAAGCACAATCACATTTTATTCAATCATATATTCCCCACTGTTTGCATGGAGTTGTTGCAAATAACATTTAAGTAAAATGTGAAAAGTTTGCAATACACTCTAAAATCTGGTTTTCATTTGAGAAAATTTTCCCCTGCAGTGATTGAAAAACGTCATAAGTCTGTGAAGGTTCAGGTGAATATGACGTGTTAGTAGAACAGACCAGCCAGATTTCCAAGATTTTCCCTACATTATTCTTATTGTACGTGACCTTGTGTTGTCATGGAGAGGGAACAACATTTTTCCTTTATTCCACTGTGTATGCTGCCACTGTTGTTCTAAACCTAAGATATGTTAGTGTACTCTAAATTTATTCTTAACTGCTATGTATGATTAGTAGTTAGGATGATACATTCATCATTACAACTGGTTCTCAAAGACTGTAATTACTTACAACTCATCCTAATATTTAAAGACATTTTACAGTGGTTGAACTGATTAAATACTAAGGATAGTGCAATGATTACTGGGAAAAAAAAAAAAACAAAAAAACAACTTTGAAGCTATTCATTGCTTCATTTCAATACATTTAACTCACCTCCAAGTATTTTATGTATGGTTGTGTCTGTGGTTAACTGAGATGCTACATCACCATCATGATTTTTTATAGTCTTATCAGCACCATTGTTCAGCAGATAGGCAACAATTGAAGGGTGATTTCTCACAACAGCCCAATGCAAAGCAGTCCTACAGTAAAAAAATGGATAAACAGATTTACATTTGCAAGTTCTCAAGTTAGTCATTGCAGATGGGAATAAAAAGGAGAGGGGTGTGTGAAAATGAACATAGACGTCAAATCATGTCTTGTGCAATTGTTAACTAAAAGAGGAACAAATTATTTGTAATTCAAATCTGCTTTTCAATAAAAACATACATATTGCATAACTAACAACTTCATGGTGTTTGCTTTTTTTTTCTTTTTCTTCACAATCAGGAATTTGGAAAATCTAAGAATGAAAAGAACATTAACAGAAAAAAAAATAGTTGACAAAAAAGATTGTTATCAGGTTTTTGAAAGACAAGGATAATGATGAACTTTTTTTCATAAACATTATAAAATTGTAAACAGAAAAACCACTGTCTAAATTTCGGAGATGAGGAGTTGTCATTATTTACACTGTTTAAATGTGGACTATTGTTTTTATCTTTGTTGTTATTATCACAATGTTTACACTTGATGAAGGCCAGAGAGCATGACAGCTGAAACATTGTAATAGCAAAAGGAAAGATGAGGACAATAGTCTGCATGTAAATAGTGTAAATGATACACCAATATATAAAATATCATCAAAATATATAAATTAGTTTACTTTTTCTTTTAATTGCAAAGATATGTAATAGAATTTGAGTCCTATTAGAAATACATCAAAATTATCATTTCATGCCAAGAAAGGCAATAAAGCCACTAAGATGCAAGGAGCTACTGAATGTTAGAAAATATGAGGAAAAAAAAAATTATGCACAATCAACATCATTTACTATTTGTTTATTCCTGAAAAACAGATCAAAAGATGCAAGAGTATTGAAGCTTATGATAATGATAAAGTAGGTGCAAGCAGAAGTCGGAATGTAAAGTAAAGTAAATCTAAATACACAGGATTAGGGTTAATCCTAAATCTACCTTGGAGGAGTAGGAGCAAGCTGTTTTCTTTGTATCTACCTCCTAATTTGGCTTTCATATTTTTTTTTCCTTTTTTAAATCAATTCACGCCAAGCAAGGCAATAATGTCACTAAAATACAAGGGGCTACTGGGAGCAAAAAAGACGAATTTAGAAAGAACCAGAAACCCAATCCTAAACAGAAAACAAAGGATAAACTTTTACTCCTATTCAAAGAACCGGACAATAACCAAACCTATCTAATATATTAACTAATCTTTCATACTTATTGTCTACGTCATGTATTCCTACCCAATTGCAAGTTTCTTTAAAAGCAGGTATCACAATATGAGCAAGCTACAGATAAAGTACCCCACTCCTATCAACACCTCAAAAATTTATTTTTGTATTCCAACACAAAGAACACTTTGAAGATCTAAAAAAACATGAAAACTGATAGATTGATGAAAATGCAACACAATACATGAAATTGCAGAAAAACTAAAAGTTGAATCAGTTAACTGAAGCATGTCATTTGAAAGATTTATGAAAAATCCAAAAGCTAGGAAAATGGATTCCATAGAAATTTATATATAGAAATTTATTTCTCTTGTCACTTAGCAAATTTTGTAAAAAATAATTTTTAAATAATCTATTACTGTAATGAAAGAATTGAAAATGAAGAAAATCCTCTTCTGACTCAGGACAGTCTTCAACATCAAAAACAGAAATCTATTTGATAAGATTCAAAGGAAATTCTTTGGTTTGGGTGGGGAGGGAGAAGGAAAATCACTGGTACAATTGATGATTACTTGTTTCAAAACATTCAACAGATCCTATCCGGTCAGTGATTCCAAAAATTCTAGATCTCAATGTTACCAAATCCAAATTGAAATAGTTATTTTATGATGAAATATACAATTTACTTGAAAGGATGACCCAAGGTCACAAAGAAAATATCCTCATTATTCTGTCTGCTAAAGCAAGTTATAAAAAAAAAAAAAAAAAAAAAAAAACTCAATAGTAACATTACCTTTCTTTACCCAATGTATTTATCAATAGTAAACCACTTTCACTTATTGGTTTTTTGTTCTAAGGATAACCAATGGAGGTAAAAATGTTTTATTCGGTGAAAAATTTATACAAATTTTTACTGCCAATTGCACAACCATCTTTGATTTAAATATATTAACAGATAAGCCCCCTTCCCAACAATTGCTTAAATTTTATGAAATATGTAATGGCTAAAACTTTAGTTCAAATTGTCAATAAACAAAGTTCAATTCTAACTTTATTTTAATACATTTTGTTAGAGAGACGCCATTGAAATTTAGGTAAAGAGCATTCGTGGTTCTAGCTTTCTTAAAACTATCACCGATTTGCATGCGTGATCAAAAACTGGAATAAAAAGTTGAGCCACACAGATTAGCAGGAAATTTTCTACAGAGTTTCACCTGTGCTGAATCAGACTCGTTGCAACTATCAACTACATTTTCACTACAAGGGGATACATTTTTTTTGCCAATTTATATTCATATCATCTTTAAATAGTATATATCATCATTATTATTATCAGTAAATAAAATCTTCACAATATTTATCTCACCCACTAAATATTTGGCAATGTTATTGCTTCTCAGGTCAGACAAGTGCATATAAAAAAACATACACATACAAGTCTTTCAGCAACCCAAATGCATACCAAGAGGAGATGGTTGGCATAAGAAACCTCCTTCAAGGCAACTACCCTGCAAGCATAACATCAGCTTCCATGTGCAAGGACAGAAAGGTTAAGGACAACAACAAGTTTACCATACATAAGGGATATATGATTCAGAGGATCTGCAAAACATACAACATCAGAAAATATTCAAAAGCAGTTCAAACCGTCATTACAATCTCTACTGAGCCAAACACCACACCGCTTGAGAAAAGAATGAGTATTCCATTCTATGCAATTGCGTCAATGAATACAAAGATGAGATCAGCTGTCTCTAAGAGTAAGAGTAGAGGAACATCAAAAAGCTATAGTCAGGAGAAGAGATATTGAAATCAGGCATGGCTGACCGCGTACTGAGAGTGGTCATCAACCACTCTGAAATGAATAGAGAACAACACTGGAGGACACAAGTGTGTGTGTGTGTGTGTGGTGTGGTTAGAGTAAATCAGTGTACATGTTAGGCTCAGACAACCTCCTTAGGAGACCTAGTATAGAAATGAACATCATTTTGGAGATTTAAATTAAGCAAAGACGACACTCCAAAATACTACACAAGTACAAACATTAAGTTTAAAAAGTACCAAAATTACATGGTGGGATTGTTCAAGAGGTAAGTCGATTAAAAAAAAACAAAACAAAAACAAACAACTTGTTTCCTAGAAGTTGCGAGTTCAATCCTTAGGTTGGGTAATGCAAAAAAAATCAAATGCTCCAGTTCAGTGGAAGAGTACACAAACTGATCTAAGATATGCTCTAAACATGGAAAGCAGAATGAGAACAATCTACCGTGTAGCTGTAGATTGAATAAAAAGTTTTATTCAAAATTCCAGGGAGGTTCCGTTACTGAATACAACAGACATCTGAAGAAGTTCACTGGGTACAATAATCGAAACGTTTATGATTAACAACCAAAATGAGCATCATAGTCTGAACGCAAAATAACGATAATTTTTCATCTTAAAAAAAAAAAGTAAAAGAAAAACTAATGGGCGATGTAAAAATGTAGTTAACACATAATAAACTCAGTCAGTCGTATAAAGTTTCGCTGCTACCATACTGTCGTCCCTTTCCCTGCCACGCCAACTCTAAAAAAAAAAAAAAAAGTGTTTGCATCCCAATCAACCAGAATGACTCATGTCAACGTAGTCACGTGATACAACTCAGCTGCCTCTTCAAAGAATAAATATCTCTTCAAAAAGAAAAAAAAAAAAAAAAAAAAAGTAAATGGGTTTTAACTTCTTACTTTTTTTTAAATTCATACTATGATACCAGTATAATTAGATGTCGTACGTCACAAGAAAGGTAGAAATAATAAGCAACTGAATAAATAGAATACACTGGCAACATCCAAAGAAAGATGCGGGGCGAATGAATTCCGATCTATTGCTTTGCAGATTTGGTTTGACAGTTATTATTACTAGCTGATAAAAGTTTATCATTTTCAATTTTTATAATGACATTCTTAAAGCTCTGTATATACCGTATTAAAAAAGAAAAAGTTGCGAATAGTACAGACAGACCATAGCGAAGCAAGGTTTCTTGATGGGAATATAAACTTAAATTTTTAAATCAAATTTATTTTTAAATCTAAAATTATTCGAATAAAAAAAAGAAAAAGACTTTTTACAGTTTATAGAAACTCTTCAACAAAGTTATGCATTTCAATTAAATTTCAGTATTGGGTACAATAAAAAAACGTGACAATTGAAAACTACTACATCAACTGAGAAATTTGCGAACAAAAAATAACAATTATTGTCAATGAAAACAAGTTTCACAAGTTAACTAATAAAGTGAAAGTAATATTTTTAAAAACAGGTTCAAGAAAAGTTTTAAAGAAATAAGAATTTTTTTTTTCAATATTTTTAGTTAAAGTACGCTACGGTAAAAAAAAAAATCAGATTTTGAAGCGACACTGATCTGAAATACAGAAGATATTTTTTTTTTCATCAATGACTACAAAATTATATTTTTAATATTGCATAATTAATAAAAGTCATTTTCTAAAAAAATAAAAATAATAATAATAAAGTGATAAAAAGTAAAAAAAAAAAAAAAAACATTTGTATTTTTTTAACAATAAATGACTGACAATAAGTTCATTTTTAGACAACTATTCTATTCTCTTTCTAAAAGAAGAGTCACATGGCCGAAAAATCTTCCCCATGAATAAAGAAAAAAATATTTCTAAGTCTAAATTAAGAAGACTGGCGTTAATTGATTTTTCCCGTCTTTTTACTGTGTTCATTTGGTAAATTAAAGAAGAGACTTTTAGAATTTGTTCGATATCTAGTAAAAAAATAACAGTAAGTAAACAAGTAAACTAAGGTAAATTTAGCAGTGGGGCCAGGTGGAAAAAAGTGTTAGAGAACTAAGGAAAGGGAAAGTTTCTGTGATGGGTTCAAAGGATTGGAACTTGGACGGAAGGTTGAAGTGTTACAACACTGGAACCTATGGGCATTCTTTTTTTTAACCATTTTTTTTTTCTTTTACAACTTTGCTTGTTAATTCTATTCTTACATCCTTTCCAGTAACAAGAAATATCGCTTATATTTAAAAAATAAAATTCATATAAAGAAAAAAAAAATTCTTCATCAAAAAGGTAAGAAGCTTTGTTGAACCGTAGCCTTTTTTTTTTTTTTCCTGATCTCACCTCTACCTGTCCGTGTCGCGTCATTTTTATAATCAAAAGATTCGCATAACACTTAATAAAAAAGGTGTGTAAAAACTAAAAAGTAATCTTATTTGCAAATTAAAGGGTTTAAAAATCTATCTTTTAGTTTAAAAGTAAGAATAAGATGAAACTGAAAAATATATGAATAAGCCGATGTGGTAGAGAGAGAGACCGATAGAGCTTTGATCCCGTAAAGAAAAAAGATAAAACGGAAATTAAAAGAAAAAAAAAAAAGGTAAGAATATTAGAACTTTAAAAAAGTAGCAAATCTTTTTTTTTTTTTTTTTTTTTTATTACAAAATAATTTTTTAAGTAACAACGAAGTAAAGAAAAAAATCTCACAATTCAATTAAACAACTTAATCAAAAAGTAATAATTTCTGACAATAGTTAGTATTACATTTTTAGTTGTCTACTTTTTACTTGTAAAATAAAAAGTACATTTATTATTAATTAAAAGAAAAAGAGATTGACATTGTAAGAAAAAAAAAGCACATCGCAAATCTCTGGAGACTAGATCCCAAGAAAAAGAAGAGAAAGAAGAATCGTACGTAATAATAGATATGCATATTTAAAGAAAAATTAATAAAAGAGACAACATTAATTTTAAAGAATTAAAAGACAATGATTAAATGTGTTTTTCTCTCTGAAAAATGCTACTTGGTACTCACTCACTTTGACTTAAATGTCCGATTTCTTGAAACTGTATGTCAAGAGAAACACGTTCGTTCTATGGAAAAAACTTGGAAATTGTGATCCAATGTCGACACTGTCTATCTTTGAATATTAGCAGGAGTAGTAGTAGCAAGATTCTTCTAAAATCGATAATAAATGGTTGGGAGTAGTAGCAGACGATCTAAAAATCACAGAACTACTTCAAGAAGAACAAACCATTTCAAAAAGTCGCTAAGTTCGCAAGTAACCATCGTTAGAACGTTAATTAAACAATCACAAGAAGCCGTTGCCAGGCAGATAAACAATGAACATAAATAAATATAACTATCAAAAGATCGATAAAAGTAGAATTGATAAATATATTTCACTTTTAACTTCACGCATCAAGTTTCAAGCAAAAAAAAAATTAAATTAAATCAGGTAACCTAAAAAATGATTTAAAAAAAAAATGCAACCCTACACATTGTACGCATACCTGACCGAATCGTTTTTATAAAATTGTATACAAAATGTACAGTCAGGTAAATTTCTTACCATCCATTTACTGAATTTTGAGAGTTAATTTCGACATGTTTTTCTTCGACAAGTTTCTTCAGTTTGACCATGTCCCCAATTGCGACGGCCTCCCTCAATTCTTCTTGGTTTCCCCGGCTCGACGCCGTCGACTCCATGTTGCACAAAAATACAACGCATACCTACAACAGGAAGTAAGGAGGCCAAATGCCGATAACAACCAGTTTTTGTTTTCACTTACTTACTTACTCAATCTTCTTTCAAACTAATTCAAACCGTTTTATTATTTTTCATTTACTTATCAAGTTATTAAACTTTCTTGTGAGTAAAATTTATATTAGTCTAAAAAGTTAAATTCTTGTACTTTCATATCTTTTTTTTTATTATTAAAAACAAAAAACAAAGGTACCCTTCCAGTCGGCGCCAACCTGTAGGATCTGAAAACTAATAAAAAATAATTATAATATAAAGTTTTTTTTGTGTTTTATTATTATTTTATTACGATTAAAAAAAAAAGGAATGGATACCGAAAATTTTATTCACTTAAAAATAAAATTATTGGTCAAAATTTAGTCCACTGGAAAGTACAAATTTTAATTATGACGTTCAAAAACTTTGAATGTTTGAAGTACTGGTATGCCTAGTTAGGGAATTTTTAATTAATCTCTCTCTCTCTCTCTCTCTCTCTCTCTATATATATATATATATATATATATATATATATATATATATATATAGCTAATGTAATAAAACTAAAATTTTAAAAAATATCATTCTGGTCATAATATAAAAAATATTAGCATCGTCAAGTTAAATTGCTATTTTAATTTTGGTGGGGACATGAGATCAGAAAAATGTTGCAACTGAAATTGATTTTGATATGTTTATAAACTGTAAAAAAAACTTACTTTTTTAACTAAAAAAAAGTTTTCCCTTTTCAGAAATTTAAAAAATTTTATATCATTCTATATCAGAAAAAGTTTTAATCATTCTATATAATATCAGAAAAAGTGTTTATGAGAAAATCATTAACAATAAAGATTAATTTAATCTCCTACAAGGTCATAAGTAGTCTGGGAAATTAGTTTGCTAACTATTTCTAAAATTCTTTTACCTGATTTTAAATTTTTTTAGAAAATGAAATCTATATATATATTTAATAAAAAACATGTATATTTTTTTACACTCATGGAAAGTGTATTTATATATAATAATGTTTAGAGAAGCCAAGAGTATTATTATCATAATCAACATTATTGAATAAAAAGCTTAATTTGATCTGAAATATTCAAAATATCTCAAATAAAATGATTTTCAGATATAAAGATTCTAAACTATCTCCAACAAATTTAATTTTTTTCCATTTTTTAAACATTATTTTACAATGCACCTCAATATACATAATCATAGACACACACACACGAATATATATATGGTGTAATTACAAAATCTAAATTCCTGATATCTTCTTCTATATAAATAAAATACAGTGTTCATGTGTCTGTCCATTTTTCAATCTCAGCAAATCATAAACAACCTGAAGTAACACGTAGTAACTATTGTAGTTACCTGTGATTAAAGATTAAATAATTCATTTAAAGTTAAATATTGAACAAAGTGAAAGGTTTAACTTTTTAATTTTGCTTTTCAATGCAATTGCTGTTGATATCATTTAATTAAACTGTAATTAAAACTTAAGTGGGGCACAGTACATTGCTCATATGATTTTTTTATTTTTTTCTAGTACACGTGTTGTGATGTATTCAAAATATTACATAGTTCGGGTTCCCTAATGTCTTGTAAGAGTGACTTTATATGAAGGGATCATAAGGAATGATGATTTTAAAAGAAAATAAAAATTGGGCACAAAATGTAAAAAACTATGGATATTGGTTATGTATATAAAGAAAGATTATGCCGAATTAAGGTGTCAAATAAAGATATTATTTCTAAATTCTTATAACTTTTACATATATAGGATGCTGAAGGTAAAAGGCCAAAGGCTGAAAAGTCCTTTGAAGGAGCTAGTCTAAAATACACCTGAAGGGTAACTTCTAGGCTAGTATATATGAAGGCTATGAACTTATGAGATCAGTATGACAATTGTTGACAAGTTAAATCTATAGTTTACAGTTTTGAATTCAAAGTTGTCCTTCTTCTCAACTGGTTGCCAAGAGAACTCAGTCTACTCTTCTATTTAACCCACAGCTGGAGGGAGAAGAGATGGATTAAAACCTTTCCCAATGGTATTTGCACATAAGTTAATGTGGGTTACCCCACTTGGTTTTACCAAAAACAGCCATTATGGCCGTACTATAAAAAGTCAAATATTTCCTTCATCTTTCTCTCATTTTCATTCTTGCTTCCAGATGTAGTCCCATATCCTCCGCTGGAGCATATTCAATTTGTGTTCCTCTGTTAACTGAACACACACACACACACACACACACACACACACGTCTCAAACATGCTTGTTTCACACACATACATACACACGCACAAGCATATTCTTATAGCTAGTTTCAATGTCTTCCTTTCATTTCAATTGTGTACACATGCAATTATTTTTGTTAATATGTGCATACAATTGCTGATTGTTTTCAATTCATTGTTTTGTGTATTTATTTTTACCTGGACTCACACAGGCTCGCCATTATTGTTTGCAGAACAAATGTTCCAGGAGCTCATAAATATTTACTATAAAACAAAGATCAATCTTGCAACAATGTAACAACCACAAATGAAATTCAAACACAGCTTGTCAATTTCTCATTCAGAGCTGCTATCCATTACTCCGCCTGCACATCAAAGCAATAGATGTTAATATATCAGCAATGCCCCATACTGATATTATAGTTGTGTATGGCTTGCACAACATCACAACAAATCATACTAACAATGTTAATAATCCTAGAGATAAGCAGATGTGAGATCTTGGGATTTGAATTAGTTTTCCTTCTCCTAGGTAGATAACTTATCAAAAAGGCTTGGAGTCCATTGATCCTAGTGGGCTAAGTGCACATCTGAACACCAACCCACATATTTCTACATTCCCTGTGTATGCATGTATGTGTGTGTGTGTGAATGATTGCTAGAGGGTCCATCTACAAAACTCTGGAGTTGGGATGCTGAAGATAACAGCAATCAAACCCTATTCAACCTATTGTCCACCTATTTTTGGCTCACCTTGTATACACACACACACCTCTTGAAGATAAAAGGTACAAATTTTGTGTTAATCTAAGGCAGAGGTACATTTCACATGTTAATGCGGAGTCGTTGCATGTAGCAAGGCTGGGTTCATCTGTTATGAAAAGAAGCATCCCTAACTCTTCAAAATCTTCACTGGCACTTTTTCTTAGGTGTAAAAATCTTTTTGTCAAAAACTCAATTTTCATTATACACACACACACACACACACACGGTAATTGAAAGAAAAAAAATTCATGTCATCCTCTAAAATGGGGGGTGAGCAAACTTTTCAGTGAAAGGGCTACATTCAAAACTTCACAATTTTATTGGGCCACATAGTATATTAATCCAAAATAATTAATATTTAAAAGAGACAAAAAAAGCCTTTTAAAAAAAAAATGCAATTAATTTTATTAATTAATATTTTAAAGTACTGTAGAAGATTCACATGAAACGCATTTATTTGAAAGACAAAGTAACTCAGTTTAAAGTACTTTAAAGAAAAAAGTATTTTTAAGTTGAAGATTTACATGAAACACATTTGAAAGACAAAATAACCTTGTTTTAAGAAAAAAATTATTTTTATTAATTAATATTATGAAGTAGAAAAAATTTTTTTTGAAAAACAAATTAATTCTGCATAAAGAAATAAAAAACAATTCTTACTAATATTTCAAAGTAGAAACTTCAAATAAAACACATAGAGTAACTAAATTTAAAAAGAAAAAATAATTTAGATTTTAAAGTAGAAACTTCACATGAAACAGATTTATTTGAAAACAGAGTAACTCAGCAACAGAAGGATCTCAACGAGAATAATGTATCTGACTGCAGTGATTTACCAGTTTGTTAAAATTAGGTGTCAAGTTGCTTGTAACAATTATTTGGCATTGCTTGGTAAGTTTCTCTTTCAAATTTACTAACATTTGGCAGACTGCATGAATTCTTTTTGGCAGGCTGTTGTTTGCCCACCTCTAAAAGGACTATCAGATTAAATGAGGAAGGAATGTGTTATATAGAATTTTTTCTATTACATTGTTGATTAATTGATTCATTTTCTATGATTTATCAACCCTTTGCAGGTTATTTAAAGCCAGAAAATATTTTTAGAGTGTGAGAATGTCTTTTTTTTTTTGAGATAATAATAATTTAGTGATACAAGTCTTACCCATGATTTCTCTTGAACACTCATATCTGCTCAATATGAGCATTCGAGAAAAACCATGGGAAATTTGTAGGTTAAAAACAGTAATTTCACCTTGCTAACCAGACACTTCCTCTGTAGCTAAATAGTATAGCACGTCAGGCTATATGACGGTTCCATGTAGGATACAGGTTCGATTCCTGTCGAATGACACATATTTTCTATGAAATTTCTCAAACATTTAGGCCAATAAATGTTATTAGTACTGTTTATTATAAATAGAGCATTTACTTAAATATTTGTATCTATAAAAATAATGTATAAACAATAAATATATTAAAATAATTGTTGGACTTTTCAATATATATATATATATATACATATATATATATAAATGGACCCATTGCACCCTGTATAGTTATTTTCTAAGCGTAGCTTAGATGTGGCACAAGGCCGAAAGTATGGTGCACCTAGTGAGGATCGAACTCACTTTTCAGTTGTAACTGATCTAAAGAGACAAGCTTGCTAACCATTACAGCACAGAGAGGTGCCCAATCACACACTATATATATATATATATATATATATATATATATATATATATATATATATATATATATATATATATATATATATATGGGGTAAATTGTTACCATTTTATATTTTTAATTTTGCACATCTGCATAGTTTGTTTTTTTGATTTTGTCGACTGCTCAGTATAGTAGGGTCAGTTGGGTCAGTCTGTGAGAAAAAGGACACTATGATGCAATTCACTCTGCCAAAATTTGGAAATGGGATGCTGTACTGCTATGTATTTGTGCC